TGTGGTCATCTGATATGTTTCCTTGTTTTTCAGCCAAGAGGCAGGTGCAAGGAGGGGCAGGAGCACTGGACAATGTAACCAGGGGACTAGGGTCGAGGCCAACGCTCTGTTATAAAGATGAAAGGAGTCCGGATGAGGGATGTGAGAAGGCTGGTCTGAGTCTGGGGAATTTCCTGGAGCAATAGCTTATAATGAGCATCACACCAAGACTGCACGTTAGGACAGCCAGGCCAGTAGGATGTTCCGGGTTCTCATCAGGGGACATCAGGGTGGCAAGATTTTATCCCAATTAGCTGGAAATGTTTATCACCAGCCCAGGGTCCACTTAATCATCCCAATGTGTAAAACCAACCTAAACCAAATGATGTATTCTGTAGGACTCGGCTTTAATTATGGGAGATGCAGAATTGGAATTTTCACTAGTGCCTTTGTGGTTTGCGTGGTGTTTCAGTGACTGTGATGTTGGGGTACGAGGGTCATGGATGGTGTTTTCATTAGTTATCATCGAGGCCCTGCCCCCACGGGATCCCAGAAATGAGGGGAGTAGCAGTGTCCTCTGAGAGGTCACAGTGAACATTCGTCAGGACAGAGGTGGGGAGAGACCTGTGACCCAGGCACAATGGCTCGCCGGCCAGCCAGTGATGGGTCACGTAACTGTTTCCCTGAAGGAATGCATGTCTGACCATGGAAATAGTTAGAGACCCAGAGCCTGCTGTGTTAAGGGTGTGGGCTCTTGCAACAGACGTGATTGTCCTTATAAATGAAACACACGTCCTTTATCATATAGGAGATGACTCAGTGACTGTCCACCTGCACTTGGTTCCTGAGCCTGTGAGGCTGAGAGTGGCACCTGTGCAGTGGTAAATGTGCCAAGGTGCTGAGGTTGAGGCCTTCAGACTAGGAAGGTCCTTGGAGGTGCTGAGAATCTGAAACCCGTTGAGGACAGCTCTAGGTGAACAGATGCACCCACGCTGCCTCTCCTGACTGAGGGGTCGGGAATCCTAGCCAATGATTACTGACACACTGAAGGGTAAGAGACAGATTCTCAAAGATGCAGACAATGAAGGGCATAAACATGAATCAGGGCTTCTTGTTGGGGTTCCACCTGTTCGGTCTGGTTTAGTGGGAACCAACCCCATGTGCCCAATCCACCCCTCTGCCTAAGCTCTATGGGGGAAAAGAGCTTGAGACCAATAAACCCCGATTCTTACGTTCCATTCAGTTATTTGCTTTGGCAGCAATGCTTTCCGATTCATACACTCCTTTTCCAGTTGTCTCATATTTGTCACAGCTTTCTGGAGCTCTTCCTGGAGGAAAATGGGGTGAACAAAGTCGATTCAGTTTGGCAGCTCCTCACTGGGCACCCAGGGGAACCCTAGTTGCCCGAGGCTGTTGGGATGACGCTAGATGTTTACTGAGTCCTCACACTGTGCGGGGAGCCTGCTGAGGGCTGTATGTGCAGGGACATATCTGATGCCCTTGACACCCCTGAGCACTGGTAGGGCTCTGACGTCATTCAGTGCTGCAGAAACTGAGGCTGAGGAAGGGGTTGTGACTTGCCCAAGGGGCTACAACTGGTAGGTCATTGAACTGTGATTCCAGTGTCACCTGCTGAGGCCTAGCCCCCACTCCCAGCGTGCCAGGGAGACGTGGCACAGAGCACGATACTCATCTAAGAGAAGATTTGATAAAATAGTGTGCTGACCTGGATGTGGCCTGCACTCAGGCACACTGTGGCACACGGGGGGTTAGTTGAGTCAAGGACTCTGGATGACACTGTTAGAAGCAGTGGGGGAGGAGGGGTGCTCAAATCCCAATGAAGGATGGTCCCGTGAAGCCAACTTAGAAAGAGTTAGTGTCCGTATTAAGCTTTCTGGTTATTTTTAAAATAGTTTCTCACGTTCTCAAGGAAAGCAGTTTGAAGCTGATCCAGAATGCTACTTGAGGTCCAAACTGAAACAACAAGGTCCTGTCGTCTGTCACCCACCAGCACACTCACCAAGTGCCCCGTGCTGGCGAGAAAGGGCTGTGATGCTTGTTAGCAAAGGGCTGCTTTTTTTGGTCCCCATTTACCGAAGAGGACACACAGACACTAAATAACTGGCTGAGAGTTACCCATCAAGTCAGGGGCAGAGCTAAGATTTCAAAGCCACCAGTCCGACTCCTGAGGCTCAGAACCATCCCCCTGTGCTGTCCCTTTTCTGGCAACCAGGTGGGAAATGTCTCCATTTCTGTAATAAGCTGCTTGTGGAGTTTGAGGAAGGGCTGCCCAGGGACGGGTTCTCATGGATGCCCAGGACAGTGATATAAGACCATTCGGGCTTGTGACGGGACGAAATAGGAGCCCTCTTTGGGGATATTTTCTTCAGATGTGGACAGGGCAGAGAAGGAGTAAGACAGCAGGACGGTGTCCTCAGCCCACGGCCCCACAGCCAAGGTCAGCTTCCTCACGGTCATTTCCACGCCCTTCACCCCCTTCCTGAATCTTGCTCAAAACGGCCCGCCCACCTCTTCCAGGAATGATCAGAATCTTTTCCTTGACATTCCTTCTATGGTGTCACTGCCAGGAGGCTCTTCTCAGTGTCAACCTTCACTCTGCACATGCCAGTCCCCCGAGGCCAGGACCACTCTAGGCAGGACTTGGACCTGAGCTGGTACCTGCCTCTCAGGTAGGATCAGTCAGCACAAACCCATGACTGTGCCTTTGCCCTGTGGTCCACTCGGTTGGGTCACCCTCACTGCCATCTACACTATGATGAATTTTTGTGTGGCCTTCAGGAGTCACGTCTCCACCACCCACACCAGAAGCCTCCAGGCAGTTATTTCTGCTGGTCTTCCCTGGGTTGTCTGCGGGACGCCTGAAAGTTGGTGACTTTGTCCCCTGTGGTGCCTGGAATCTCACACACAGTGTGAGGCAATCGAGTGCATGGGTGTGGGTTTGGGAACATTGTTCTAGAGCTGGGAGAAGGTTCTCACAGCAGGGGTAGACAGGGACGAGTCAGACCATTCCACGTGAGGTCATGTGAGGTCAGGATAGACAGTGGGAACTTGACCAGGGAGGACCCATCCTTAGCCATTTTCCAGAAGTGTGACATGAGGAAAACCATCGTTCAGGTTGCAATCTTAGGGTTCAGCTGGATGACCTCAGGTCTGCGGAGAAATGGCATTGGGGACCCACCAAAACCCCGTCCCAGGCCCACACGCTCACCTTGTAGCCTGAGCACGCGTCCTCCACGAGCGTGGTGTTGTGCCACATGTGCTGTAGTGACCGCTCACAGCGCCAGCAGATGAATTCTTCGTCATCCTCACAGAACAGGTGCAGCTTCTCCCCGTGCTCCTTGCACGTCATCTCCTGGTCCAGCTCCTTTATGATCTCAATGAGGTTCCCCAGCTGCGTGTTGGGCCGCAGGCTTGTCCTGCGGAATGGAGCTTGACACTGGGGACAGGGGTGCTGGCGCAGATTTGGCTGCTGGTGACCGAGGTTGTCCAGGAAGCCCTCTATGCACCGCTGGCAGAAGCTGTCTCCACAGCTGATGCTCTGCGGCTCAGTCATCAGGCTCAGGCAGATGGAGCAGGTGGCTTCCTCCCTCATCCTCTCGGTGGCTGTGGCTGAGGCCATGGCTTCTCCTGAAAACCTCCAGGATCAGACCCAGAGGCAGAGAGGGAGCCGCCAGAACCCCCACAGGGACAGAAGCACTCGTCACCTGGGCTGTGGTGCCACTGTCCCCCAGGTCCCGAGGTCTTCTCTCTAGACAGAAGGAATGTACTGGGACTCAGAAGGGGCATGACATGGGGCTGTGCTGTGACCATCGTGTGGCCACTTCAATTTATTGAAACAACATCAGATTCAAAGTTCAGCTTCTCAGTCGCACTAGCCACACCCCCATCATGACAGGACAGTCCAGACATAGAATCTTCCATCGCTGCTGCAAGGTTTCTGGACCAAGTTCCGAGAGAGACAGAGACAGAGACAGAGACAGAGACAGAGAGACTGAAAGAGAGAGAGAGAGAGAGAGAGAGAGAGAGAGAGAGAGAGAGAGAGAGAGCTCACTGAGGTTATGTGAACCTACCAATCCTGATCAACATCAAGAATAATTAGTTCCTGAATCATGTCTTTACAACTGGTGGTGACACTTAGGTGACCAGTGTTTCATGGAGGATTCCATCACATGATCACATCACTTGCACCCGCACCCCCACCTTATAAGAACAGATACACCATGTTAATAGTCTCATGGGGACCCCAGCTGGGTGACAATGGAGGTAGACAGGCCACCAGATGAATGTGTTTGTTGTGTTGTGATCCTCCCTGATGGAGGGAAAGAGAGCTGAGGATGAGGGAGTGACAGTGTCTCCAGCACCTGCCAAGCAGACAGGGGAGGAGGGACCAGGATCAAAGGGTGTTCTCGGGGACCCCAGCCCTGCCCCCATTCCCACACCAGACAACGTGAGAACCGACAATGGTGGAATTAGAAACAAGAATTTGACAATAGTTACTGGAGCCCCTGTTTCCTTCTAACTAGAAGGACCCGTGGCTCCATGGTGGGTGATTTCCAAGGACAGCGGGCTCCTCTGTGGCAGGGGGGCTGTGCCCTCAGGAAGCCCCGGGGTGCCCTGCTGGGCCTGCTCTCCCCCCACATCCTGGATGCACTGAGATTTGTCTGCATGGAGCCTGGGGAAAGTGAAAGCAGACATGGTGACAGTGACTGCCCAGGACATGTCCTCACTTTTCAGCTCCTGGAGGCACCCTCCCTGCCACCTGCCTCCAGCCTTAGCTGTCGTGTCCTCCCACACGCTCTGGCCCGGCCCTTTCCCACTACCTGGACACTGCAGAGGGTCACACACGAGCTGGAGTTCCGGGGAGCTGCCAGTCCCGATGAGCAAGACCAGGAAGTTAACTCAGATTGGAGGAAACTCAGAAACGTAACTTGTGGGGGTGGGGCTGTGAGGAGGGGTGGAACCAGTGAACTGCCACAATCTTTTTTACTCAGTCCGGAAAGCAGGCAGAGGGTCAGGAAATATCCTTCTCTCACAGCGATGAGTAAGGGACAGCTTGATCACCAGGAAGCTGCTTTGTGTCCCCAGCACAATGTTGGGGTCAGGAAGCCTGTGCAGCTCACAGAGTCGGACTTGAGACTTTTTTGCTTCTGTCTACCAACCCCTCGTGATCCATCAGCCTTCTGGTTTGTGTTCTATTTTGCTATTTTGAGGTTGCTTACTTTTCAATATCTGCTCTGAATGGGGTGGTAAGAAAGGGATGGAAGGAACTACTGGGGTCGCAGAACTGGCTCCAGCCTGTCTCTGTCCTCTGGTCCTGTTGCTGTGTCTCATGTCCCCCCGCATCCCTCTGCAGGATTCAGATACTTCCCAGGACACTCAGCGATGGTCAGCAAGCAGCCACGAGCCACTGATGACCCAGCTGGGACCCCAGGGCCAACACTCTGCTCTGAGTCCAGTGCAGAAAGGGCTGTGAGCTTGGGGGCAAGAACTGTGACTGAGCTCCTGTCTCTCCTGTTCAACACAGGAGCTGAAGGACTGTCCCTGCCCAGTTCAGAGCTGTGATTTATGGGGCAACCAGATAACTGCCTCAAAGTGAGAGCTGGCCACATGCGTAGCTGTAGGTGTAAGATGCATTTACAATAAATACACGTATGACAGAGGTTTGCACAGGAAATAACATCTGCAGTGGCAGAGGAGCCAGTCAGAGACGCACAGCTACCAGCAGGAGTCAGGCGTGGACCCTGCAAGCTGCCTGGGACCAACGTTCCCCTCGCCTGGCTAGTTCAGTGCTGACCCTGGCAATCCTGTGGAAATCTGTGCTCAGGGCAGCACAGAGGCGACTGGTGGGACTTGGGCCCTGCACATCCTGCTGGGCGGCAGCTCAAGCTGGAGGCAGAATTGTGAAACAGGATCCTCTCTTCCCACCCACACGGGAGCCTCTTCAGCACTGCCCCCTCCCGGGAGCTCACAGAGTCTCTGCCACGGTGTCGGCCGGTGCCTCGTAAGCCCTGGCATGTGCTGTGGGCAGACCCCGCACAGGACACGCCTGAGGCAGCCAGCATGCAGGAAGTGGACACAGCCGCCGAGTCCCTGAGCCGGTGAGGGCTCCTTGTACAATAGATGCCCACGCCCTTCATCTCTGTGGCTGTGACACTGGACCCAGGCGCAGCTCATCCCAAATGTGTCCTGTGAAAGGATCGGGAAAAGGAAGCAAGTGAAAGCCAAGAAATATATAAATAAACAACCACTGCCAATAAAAGCACCACGGGCTCTGTGCCATGCCAGCTGCCCACCTGGCACCTGTGTCCTGTGACATTAAGGAGGTACGGTCTGTGCAGACAGCTGCAGGTCCTACAAGGTGACAGGGGCTGCAATGAACCTGCACAGGTATGTTCCCTGAAGGTGGGTGTAGGGAGAGACCAGTAAGGGTTGCCCCTCTCCGACCCCCCAGTAGGAAATGCACCCCTTTAATCAGTGAGACTGGGCTTGGCCCTGTGAGTCTGGGATGCAGAAAACTAGACACCCACAGCCAGCGGGTAATCAGAGTCTCCTTAAAAAAGATGTGTTTGTAGGCGTATATTTAGGATAGAAAAACATCAGATGCAAATTGCATGGTAACGATTATAACATGTCAAATAAATTAGGGACCACTGGATTGTTTTGTTTCTTTTTTTTCAATTCTAAAATTTCCATTTGGTCTTCTTTACATCTTCTATTTCTTTGCTAGACTTTGTGTCTTTTCAGTCTGAAATTTCAAGAGCATTTTCTGTTGTTGGAGCATTTATTTTAAAATAGCTGCTTTAAATCTAGTCAGAAAATTCTAACATCTGTGTCCCCTAAGTACATTTTGGCATCTGTGACCCTCTTTACCTACAAAGAGGCCGCCATTTTCCCAATCCTTATTCATCTACTTCTCCCACTAAACAGAAATATACCATCTTTGTTATTTATTAAATTCTTATACAGTAGGAACTGATTCTAAACTCTTATTTTTTTCTACTGAGCTCACCATAGAAATCATACACCTTTCTTCATTCTACTCATTAATTTATATGCTTCTTTCTTTTGTGAGTGGAACAGTCTTCTCGTTTCCTTTTTCAGGTCTTACTGCTCAGAAGGAAGAAATGTACTGGTATGTTTTATCTAGGGAACTTATCAATTTCTACAATTATTTCTACTCTCTTTACTCATTAGAGTCCCTTGAGTTTTTTCTAGTCATCAGCAAATAAATCATTTTATTTTTTGTTTTCCTTAATGTGAATACTAAGCATTTCATTTTCTTTTTGTAGTACATTTGCTAAGAATTCCCAATGCGAAGTTGAATACAAATGTTAGCAGGAATCACTCTTCAGTTCTTGGTTTTAATTAATATGGTATTAAGTGTTTGTCTTTCTGGATATTTGCAGTTAATATTTGGTATCTACATTATGCTTAAATAGTTACATTTATTTCTATTTTACTTTTTTTTTTTTGCTTAAACAACTAACGTTTATTTTTCACAGTTCCGGAGGCCAGGAGTCTGAATTCAGGGCGCCAGTATGGTGAGTTCTTGGTGAGGGTCCCCTTCCTGGTTATGTCCTCACATGGTCTTTCCCTGGTGTATGCATGGAAGGAGAGAGAGAGAGAGAGAGAGAGAGAGAGAGAGAGAGAGAGAGAGGAAGCGAGACAAGGCCCTATTTTACTTTGTTAAAAGATTTGAATGGCTGCTAAATTTTTTCATGTATTGATATAATCCTATGGTGCTTCTGTTCTTTCTTTGACAAGTTTTGGGGAGGAAAGAGTTGAGTTGAGGTGGAGCTATACATTTGGGAGTCAGTGGTATATGGATTGTCCTTAAAGCCACGAGACTGGGTGAGGTCACCGAGGGAGCAACTGAGGTAGAGAAGAGTAGAACTATATTGCATGTTCCTTGTGCTGCATTCGCTACTAGTTCAGAAGCACACGTCCAGAATTTAGCAGTGGCGGGACTGGACTGAGCCGGGTGGAAGAGGAGGCAGAAAAGTGACTGTGATACTGGGAAAGACGATGTATCAGGAGAGCAGCAGTGAACTTGGAGAGAAAGCGATGGTGTAAGAGATGATTACGAGGTGGAAACAACTGCTTAGATGTGGGGATGAGAGAGGTTGCACAGCCAAGAACGATAGCAGAGTTTTTAACTGGAGCGAGCAGTTCCCTTCACGAAGAGGGGGGACGCTGAAACAAGCCGACATGGAGAGCAGGTGGGTGTCAGGTCATGTGTTCACAGCGACTTCCTAGAGTGACAAGAGTAGAGGACCTGGGGGGTGTCAGCCCAGGTGCAGTCAGAAATCAGAAACCACACTAAAATTTAGCATAAAGAATTTGATGGGAATGCTATGTCTTCTGGTCTTAGTAGAGTGGCCTCGTGTAGTAGGTGTGCTGTTGGGTCCAGTGGCGCAGTCTTTCTGGTCACCTGAGCCACGCACTCCAGGTGAGTCCCTTGTGTGGGTTGTGTGTGCCCTCCTCTTGTAGCTGAGCCTTGGTTGATAATTGCACATCAATGTGAGGGACTGACTCTTGGGCTCGCTGGTTGTGAGGACTGGTCTTCATTACAGTGGAAGAGTTGTTGTGCAGGGGCTGAGCCTACAGAACAGGATCAGCCTCAGCAGGGCTCTGGTGCCTGTGCAATCCGCCCCTTGGGTGTGTCGTCCTTGAAGGTGGCTGGTGATGTTCCAGCTTGTTTTGAAGGTGGGCTCTGGGTCGTCAGGCTCAGGACCACCCTGGAGGGGATCACTGTAGGTCTACATCAGCCACAGCCCGTGCCTCACCCGGAGTCACCCAGCAGGAGCCAGAGAGAGATCCACAGATGGCCGCCACTCATGCTGTGCTGGAAGCACCTTGAGGGGCCAAGCCGGTATTCAAGATCAGCTGCCGCTAGTGCTGGCTTAGGGCTGCTCAGCCAGAGGTACAGGGCACGCTCAAGACAGATGCTGCTTGTCTGGGTTTTATGAACCTTTGAGAGAGCCTAGGAAAGTGCAGCTTGAGCCAAGGCAGGCGGTCTGCATGAAAAAGCCACTGAAAGCAGCGTGGTGTGCCTGAAAGTTGGGTGGGGCCAGGTCTCCAATTCCCAGGGCGGGGAAAATGAACCACAGAGTCTCAGATATGGTGACCACCTGTGCCTGTCTGCCAAGAATGGGGAAAACTCAGCCAAGAAACAATGGCCTCCACCAGCTCCCCCCGTCCAGGAGAATGCCTTTTCTCCAGCCCCTGCCTCAAGCCAGATAACTCAACTCCCCACCATGTGTTCCTGCCACCTTTCCAGCTGCTGCTTCAGCGCTGGAGTTCAGAGCGAGTGACTCCATTGGTGGGTAAGTCCCTGCGCTGTGTCTTTAAGAGGAGCGCCTGTGAGTTCAGCTGCACCTCGTCTCATTCAGTCACAATCTCTACTGGTTTTCACAACCAACATTTATGGGGACTTCTCTCCACGGCACTGGAACCCTGGGCTGGAATCTTTCGCTCCTCTGGCGGATGGGGTGGGGACCCCCCACAGCCAAAATAGCCCTCCCCAACTTTAATTGTCACAGGCAGGTGTGAGACCGGCCTGTTCATCATCTATGACCTTCCAATCAGTCTGGAGGTGCTTCTTCTGCACGTCCTTAGTTAAAAGGCTTCAGTTCAGCTTGATTTTCGGCGATTCTCAATAGCGCGTTTTATTTTATTTTTTATAGATCAGTTGTAATTTTGATGTGGTTCTGAGGGAAGGTAAGCATAGCGTTTACCGACTGTGACATCTTGGCTGTCTTTCTCAATTTTTACTTCTTTTATGTTTATTATTCTTCCATGCAATTCTCAAAGGTTTAATTTGTTAATAAATTTCTATTCTTTAGTTGAAGGTTTATTTTGTCCTCACCCTCTCTTGTTCAGTAATCTAAGTGTTTTAGGATGTAGAATTTCCTCTGAGCAGAATACTCTACTCTAGGCCCTGTCTGTATATGGGGCCTCCCCTCACTGGGCAGACACACCTGAGTCAGACAGGGCTGTAGGAGGCTTCGAGGGAGAGATGAACTTAACACAATGTCCAGATTGTGCCTTCACTTCTGTGTGAAGGTGGGGGGGGGGTCTCTCAGTCGTTCAGTGGGTCAGAGGCTCATAAGTGAGTCAGTGCTTGCACCATAAGGACAGGGGACAAATAACACAGCGGTTCCTTGTGTAAAGAGAACAAAATATTTTTTTCTCTACCCATCTTAGTTTCTTTAACTAAGGCCCTGGACATTTGACTAAAAAAAGCCAGATAAATAATAGAAAAATAGAACTTTATTAGCATGTTATGACATAATAGAATATATATTAGTCTCTGCCCCCAGTTCCTGGCACAGAGCTCATGAAACCCCTGTAATTTTCTAAGTGATAAAAGCACGAGGAGCATCTTTTGTTGTAATATTTGGTCTTCAACTCTGGTTGCTGGTATGGATTTCCTAAATTTCTTGCATTTTCCTGGGTGATAGGAGCATCTTTTATTCTAATGAGGCCACTCTGGGTTGGGCTCCTGTGTGGCTTCAGGTGGGCTGGTCACCAGGAATTCCCAGCCATGATTAGAAGCTTGGAACGTTCAGCTCTACTCCCCACCTTTCAGGGAGGAAGGAGGACCTGAGGATTAACTTAACGATTAATCATGCCTACATGATGAGGCCTCCCTAAAAATCCAAAAGTACAGGGTTTAGAGAGCTTCTGGGAAGGTGAACACATCCACGTGCCAGGTGGCGGCCACCTCCCAGCTCCACAGGGACAGAAGCTCTTGTCCTAGTGACCCTTCTGGACTTCGTCCTCTGTATCTTTTCATCTGGATGCTCATCAGTCTCATTTGTCATATTCTTTACTAACAATCAACCAGTAAACAAAGTATTTCTCTGAGTGTTGTGAGCTGTCCTGGCAAATGATTGAACCCTAAGAGGGGTCATGGAAACCTCCAATTTATACCCCATCAGTCAGAACCAGAGTGACAACCGGGACTTGTGACTGGTATCTGAGGTGGGGGTGGGCAGCGACAGTCTTGTGGGTCTGAACCCTTAACCTGTGGGGTCTGTCTGACTCCAGTTAGTGTCAGAGTTGAATTGAATTGTAGGACACCCAAGTTGGTGTGTGAAAAATACCTTCATCTGTGGTGTCAGAAGTGGAGTGCTGTGAGTGTGTTCACAGTAAGAGAGCCGAGGAGAAACAGGCCGCTTTTCCTGGGCACCTGTGTACAGGTGGAGATGCTCTGACATCAGCAACTCAGAGCAGAGGGTGGGACTTGGGCTTATACAGCATCATAACAAAAAACAGGATTTTTAGAGAAGTAACAAGATAAAAATGACTTCCTAGCTTGCAAATGTGGGAAGACTGACATGGGGAAAGTAATAGTAAATAAGGGCTGGTTTTCACAAGGTTTGTCCTGTAGGTTCCTCGGGTGCTGTGTCTGGGTTGATAACAGTGTAGCGGTGTGTCTGGTGATTAGCTTGTGTCTTTCCTGGTACAGAGAAGAGGGGGGACACTTTACAACTTCATGTCCTGCTTTTAGGCAAATAGGGGAGGACAAAGAGGTTTTCTTGTTTCTGTTTTTTCTCATCTGCCTTAGCCCAATATAGATGTTATGCCCAAGTGACATATGTGGGGTGGTGTATTATGCTGCTCTTCACTTTTGAGTTATGCCCAGCTTCTCTCAATCTGTCTAGGAGAACTTATGATGCTGGGGATGTGAGAGATAGCCTGACCTCTTCCATGTCTTCCTCTGATGGAGGTGGAGGCCCACCATGCTCCAACAACTGGAAACCACTCATTTGCCTTATTTCCCCTGTTTCTAGAGAAAGGAAGTGAGAGAAATGCAACATTGATGAAAATCACATTTTATATCAACCAGCAACTATCATAACGTTTAGTGATTTTGTCACATGTTTTAGTCATCATTAATATTGTGTGTTTTTTGGAGACTTCATCATGGTGCTGTCATTAGCCAACTCAGGTCTGATGATTTGGGTTTGACATGGAATGTACTTTTCTACCTCAACCCATGTATAGTTAAGGTCTATTGGTTCTTATCTGAATCATAATCTACACGGCCAGCAACTATGACCATGGTACCTATTGACTGAGATTAGAAATATTTCAAGACAGTGGTGCTAGTACAGTCTAGAGAACATCAGCTTCTATTTCAGGACTGTGTCCTCCAGCAAACTTCTTTTTCACCCACTTCATCTCCTCCTCCTTCGCAGCATCTCACTCTAAGCCCATTCTCAGTCTTCTCTCACACTTGGCTTGGTTTCTGCCAGGTCTGACAGCCTCTGCACTCACCACCACTCAGAACTATGGCTCAGGATATTCAACAACGCATCAGTGTGCACAGGAGTCACTGCTCTGTTCATTTCCTGCAGCAAGCGGAGACTTGCAGCTTCCCCTCATCCCCACACGAGTTCCAATGGCGTGAAATGAACTGGGAGGACTCAGACCTGACCTCTCGGTCACCCTGCTGGTCACCCAAGGACTGTCGGAAATCAGAGCTCTGACCCCATGGAAGGGTGATGGAGAGGACAAGTCTGTACACTGTGATTATCTTGCTTCCCTCCAGACTGACCAGTTGTGTTGTTTCACAGTCCTTACATCTATTCATTCAATGCAGATTATTAGGGACCCACGAAAGGCCCCGCCCTCACTGTTCTACATACAAGGAAATAGCGGTAAGAAAACAGAACAAATTGTGCCTCACAGGATTCATATTATTTTCTCGATGCTGGTTAAGCCAAGAAGGAGACAGCACCTTTCTTTACTCATCTGGGGGAGGCAGGGACAGAGGAGAAGAGGGATAAACCCGGAAATAGGGCCGCAGCGTCCCCGAGAAGGAGGCCCTGGGAAAGGTGAAGATGTGGGAGGGTGTGGTCATGTTGTAAAAGGAGACGACTCCCGCCTCATAGTCCAGGAAAACCCCCACAAGCAGGGGCTGCTTCCTTAGGGAAAGGAGAGTGGGAAAGCACGTCATCGCCCAGTAGCCTACCTTCATCACCATCCTGATGGCCCAGAACCCAGACTGGGGGTTCCTCCACTTGTTAGTATCCCTCTGCACGTTTTTCATACAAAGTCCTAACTCCCACTGAGTCCCTTCTCCCACATACACTTCAAAGTAATGTCGTCCCGAGGTGAAGCTGTTGCGACCCAGAATACAGGGGTAGGTGGTAAGTCTCCTGCGAGAAATATTTTGGGGGATACGATGAGTCACTTGTCTCTGATCCTCAGATAGGATTAGGTCACAATGAGCTGTATCTGAATCCAGAGTCACGTTGACTGAAAGAAAAGAAAAGAACATAATGTTGTCACCAAGAGCACAGCTAACTCAAAATAAAACCAGCCTGCGCTCAGATTTGAGCTTTGTCTCTGACAGGCAGTGTGAGCCCAGGCAGGTCATCCCTTGAGCCTGACTTTTGTGATATAGAAGTAGGAATGATCACACCTGTTTCACGGGTTGGTGGAGGATCGAATGAGCACATGTGTGCTTCGTGCCTGGAGAAGGTCCTCACGTACCTTGATAGCCTCTTAACAACTGCCTCACACCAAAGTAAAGCTCAGATACATCACAGGCAGTCTGAATCTTTAAAGACGGGGCCACTGGCATGTCCAGCATCACAGCTGAGCTCCTAAAATAAGCAGAGGCCGGGCACTTCTTAGCGGTGCGTCCCATCAGCTCTGTGTCCCCATGCCCTTCCTCCTGCATTCCTACAACACTCACCTGCTCAAAGCGCCCTTCACGCCCTACAGAGAAAAAAGATGAAAGGTGAGTGTGGGGACATCAGGATTCCAGGAAGCCTGGCACCTGGGTCCACCCTCTAGGAATACTCCTTCCAAAGGAATGAAGAGAAGGGTCTGGCCTTGGGCATCGTGGGTGCCCAGAAGGGACGGTGCCCACCCCAGCCCGGGGTGTGCATCACGGTGGGATGTGGGTCCACCTGAGTCTCCATCGTCCTGCTGAGGCTGTGGAGCTTGTGTGCTGCTTGGGGAGCAGGGCCAGCTGGTCACCCCATGCTCCCTCGGGCAACACTGGCTCTCATTGACCTAACTTCCTTCTGAGTGAACTCGTATTAGACAACTCATCACAAAGCCCCAAGGCTGGGCCACCACGGTGGTGACAGCAGGTTGTGGGGGAGCGGTCACACTATGCTCGCAGCCTCAGGGGGTGACCTGCAGCCCTGTTAGATAACTAGAATAAATAGCCAGGAGTGCTGCATCCTAACAAGTCCCCTAAGAGCATGGGCACCAGGGCTGTTGTAAGCAAACTGGGGCAAAGTTTCCCGTTCATGTTGGCTGCCCCACCTCCTCACCCACAGTCACCTGGACGAGTATTTCAGGAGACTGAAGCCAGGTTCTGGGCACATGGATGGGGTAAATGGGAATAGAATTGACCCCAAGGTCTCTTCGGCCGAGCAACTCCACATACGCATCCGGAGGGGGCATGTTGTTCTGATTCACATAAGGAAGCTTATAGACTAGTAAGCCACCTAGCAGACATGGGTCTGCATCTAAAGACAGGCCACTTCCAAATCCCCACCTGATGTGCCACCTTTGATCAAGGCTGGTGGACTCGCCTGTCTCCCCACACTGCCTCACCATTGTCCCCTCCATCGCTCAGGATCACACCCCTCCTTTCCTTCCTCCGAGTGCATGCCCAGCCTCACCTGCAGCAGCTTCTGGGCTGAGCCTTGACACCTGTCCTCCAGGCGCTGGATGTGACTCTCGAGTTCACGTCTCTTGCGCTCCAGACTGGCCTCACTGTCCCTCAGAGCCTTCAGAGTCTGCTCGTTCTCCTTCTCCAGTCTCCACAGGAAGGACTTCTCCTCCTCCTGCAGGAACCTGTGCAGCTCCTTGAAGTCATCCTGGATTTTCTGTTTCTGAAGTTCCATCTGCCTCTGGAGTCAAAAAGGGTGTTCAGAAGAAGGTGACAACCCGTGTCACCAGAGACAGTTGAGTGATCAACAAAGTGTGGGGCACAGACACAGCGGAACACTTTTAGCCATGAAAAGGACGGGATTTTGACGCGAGCTACTACATGAACAGGCTCTGAAGACAGGATGTTGAGTGAAATAAGCCAGACACAAAAGGACACGTGCTGTGTGATACCACTTATGCAAGTGACCTAGAGTGGTCACATCATAGAGACGGAAAGAAGAATAGAGGTTGCCAGGGGCTGGGAGGAGGGCTTGAGGAGTTAGAGTTAAATGGGGACAGAGTTTCAGTTTGGGATGAAGAAAATTTCTGGAGATGGATGGTGGTGATGGCTGCACAACAATATAGAAGTACTTACTGCTTCTGAGCTGGGCACTTAAAAATGATGAAAATGGTAGATTTTGTGTTATGGATACTTTAACGCACATACCAGAGAAAGTTTGCTCAACTGCCATGAAATTATTTTCCCGTGAGCCATCGAGCTGGAAGAATGTCCCCAGCTCTGTGCTGCAGTCACACCTGGGAGGCACTCAGGTGCAGGAGACAGGGTCATGGACCTCTGTGGTCATCTGATATGTTTCCTTGTTTTTCAGCCAAGAGGCAGGTGCAAGGAGGGGCAGGAGCACTGGACAATGTAACCAGGGGACTAGGGTCGAGGCCAACGCTCTGTTATAAAGATGAAAGGAGTCCGGATGAGGGATGTGAGAAGGCTGGTCTGAGTCTGGGGAATTTCCTGGAGCAATAGCTTATAATGAGCATCACACCAAGACTGCACGTTAGGACAGCCAGGCCAGTAGGATGTTCCGGGTTCTCATCAGGGGACATCAGGGTGGCAAGATTTTATCCCAATTAGCTGGAAATGTTTATCACCAGCCCAGGGTCCACTTAATCATCCCAATGTGTAAAACCAACCTAAACCAAATGATGTATTCTGTAGGACTCGGCTTTAATTATGGGAGATGCAGAATTGGAATTTTCACTAGTGCCTTTGTGGTTTGCGTGGTGTTTCAGTGACTGTGATGTTGGGGTACGAGGGTCATGGATGGTGTTTTCATTAGTTATCATCGAGGCCCTGCCCCCACGGGATCCCAGAAATGAGGGGAGTAGCAGTGTCCTCTGAGAGGTCACAGTGAACATTCGTCAGGACAGAGGTGGGGAGAGACCTGTGACCCAGGCACAATGGCTCGCCGGCCAGCCAGTGATGGGTCACGTAACTATTTCCCTGAAGGAATGCATGTCTGACCATGGAAATAGTTAGAGACCCAGAGCCTGCTGTGTTAAGGGTGTGGGCTCTTGCAACAGACGTGATTGTCCTTATAAATGAAACACACGTCCTTTATCATATAGGAGATGACTCAGTGACTGTCCACCTGCACTTGGTTCCTGAGCCTGTGAGGCTGAGAGTGGCACCTGTGCAGTGGTAAATGTGCCAAGGTGCTGAGGTTGAGGCCTTCAGACTAGGAAGGTCCTTGGAGGTGCTGAGAATCTGAAACCCGTTGAGGACAGCTCTAGGTGAACAGATGCACCCACGCTGCCTCTCCTGACTGAGGGGTCGGGAATCCTAGCCAATGATTACTGACACACTGAAGGGTAAGAGACAGATTCTCAAAGATGCAGACAATGAAGGGCATAAACATGAATCAGGGCTTCTTGTTGGGGTTCCACCTGTTCGGTCTGGTTTAGTGGGAACCAACCCCATGTGCCCAATCCACCCCTCTGCCTAAGCTCTATGGGGGAAAAGAGCTTGAGACCAATAAACCCCGATTCTTACGTTCCATTCAGTTATTTGCTTTGGCAGCAATGCTTTCCGATTCATACACTCCTTTTCCAGTTGTCTCATATTTGTCACAGCTTTCTGGAGCTCTTCCTGGAGGAAAATGGGGTGAACAAAGTCGATTCAGTTTGGCAGCTCCTCACTGGGCACCCAGGGGGACCCTAGCCATCTGAGACTGTGGGAATGACGCTGGATGTTTACCAAGTCCTCACACTGTGTGAGGAGCCTGCTGAGGGCTGTATGTGCAGGGACATATCTGACGCCCTTGACACCCCTGAGCACTGGTAGGGCTCTGACGTCATTCAGTGCTGCAGAAACTGAGGCTGAGGAAGGGGTTCCATGACTTGCCCAAGGGGTACAGCCAGGAGATCGTTGGACTGCGAGCCCAACATCACCTGCTGAGGTCTAGCCTCCCACGTCCATCCTGCCAGGGGGAAGTGGCACAGAACACGATAATGATTATCTAAGAGAGGATTTGATAGAACAGTGTGCTGACCCGGACATGGCCTACACTCTGGCACACAGTGGCACACTGGGGGTTAGGTGAGACAAGGACTCTGGATGACTCTATTAGAATCATTTGGTGGAGGTGGGGCGCTCTGGTACCTTTTGAAGGATGGTCCCGTGAAGCCTAAAACGAGTTAGTGTCCATATCACGCTTTCTGGTTATTTTTCAAAATAGTTTCTCATGTTCTCATGAAAGCAGCTTGAAGCTGAACCAGATTGGTAGTCGAGGTCCAAACTGAAAGAATGAGCTCCTGTCCTCTGTCGCCCCACCAGCACACTCACCAAGTGCCCCGTGCTGGCGAGAAAGGGCTGTGATGCTTGTTAGCAAAGGGCTGCTGTTGTCTCCAGTTACAGATGGGAATGCAGACACTAAATAACTGGCTGAGAGTTACCCATCGCGTCAGGGGCAGAGCTAAGATTTCAAGCCCACCAGTCCGACTCCTGAGGCTCAGCACCATCCCCCCCCCCCCATGCTGTCCCTTTTCCACCTACCTGTTGGGAAATGTCCCCGTTCCTGTTATGAGCTACCTGTTGAGTTTGAGGAAGGGCTGCCCAGGGATGGGTCCTCTTGTACAGCCCAGGACCGTGATACAAGAGCACCTTGGCCTCGTAGGTGATGGACAAGACCCCTCGCTGGGGACATTTTCCTCAGATCTGGACATGGCAGAGGTGTAAGGCAGCAGGACAGTGTCCTCAGCTCACGCCGCCACAGCCAGGGTCAGCTTCCTCCATGGTCATTTCCACGTCCTTCACCCCCTTTCCTGATCTTGCTCAAAACCACCCCCTCCTCCCTCTTACAAAAATAATCAGAATTTTACTCCTTGACATTCCTTCTATGGTATCAGTGCCAGAAGGTTCTTTTCAGTGTCACCTTCACTCTGCACATGTAAGTTCCCGAGGCCAGGACCACTCTGGGCAGGACTTGGTGGTACCTGCCTCTCAGGCACGGTCAGTCAGCACAGCTCCCTCCACTGTGCCTTTGCCCTGTGGTCCCCCTCGGCTTGGGTCACCCTCACTTCCCTCCACACTTCTGTATATGGTGAATTTTTGTGTGGTCTTCAGGAGTCACGTCTCCACCACCCACACCAGAAGACTTTGGGTCATCCCTTCTGATGGTCTGCCCTGGTTTGTCTGCGGGACGCCTGAAAGTTAGTGTCTTTGTCCCCTGTGGCGCCTCGAATCTCACACGCAGTGTGAGGTAATCGAGTGTGTGGGTGTGGGTTTGGGACATTGTTCTAGAGCTGGGAGAAGGTCCTGCTGGGTGAGTGGACATAGATAAGTCTGACTGTCCCATGTGAGGTCACGTGAGATCAGGATGGACAGTGGGGACTTGACCAGGAGGACCCACCCTGAGCCATTTTCCAGAAGAGGGAGCTGGGGAAAGCCATCTTTCAGGGCGCAGGCTCGGGGGTCCATCTGGGTGGCCTCAGGACTGGGGAGCAATAACAGTGGGGACGCACCGAAGCCCTGTCCCGGGCCCACATGCTCACCTTGTAGCCTGAGCACGCGTCCTCCACGAGAACAATGGAGTGCCTCATGTGCTGTGGTGACCGCTCACAGCGCCAGCAGATGAATTCTTCATCGTCCTTACAGAACAGGTGCAGCTTCTCCCCGTGCTCCGTGCAGATCATCTCGTGATCCAGCCCCTTCATGGCCTCAATGAGGTTCCCCAGCTGCTTGTTGGGCCGCAGGCTCTTCTTGTGGAATGGAGCCCGGCACTGGGGACAGGGGTGCTGGCGCAGATTTGGCGGCTGGTTGTCCAGGAAGCCCTCTAAGCACCGCTTGCAGAAGCTGTGTCCACAGCTGATGCTCATCGGCTCGGTCATCAGGCTCAGGCAGATGGAGCAGGTGGCTTCCTCCCTCATCCTCTGGGTTGCTGTGGCTGAGGACATGGCTTCTGAAAACCTACAGGATCAGACCCAAAGGCAGAGAGGGAGCCGCCAGAACCCCCACAGGGACAGACGCACTCATCACCTGGGCTGCAGTGCCACTACCCCCAGGTCCCGAGGTCTTCTGCCTAGACAGAAGAAATAAACTGGGACTCAGAAGGGGCATGACACGGGGCTGTGCTGTGACCATTGTGTGGCCACTTCAATTTATTGAAACAACATTGGATTCAAATTCAGCTTCTCAGTCACACTAGACACATCCCCGTAATTACAGAACAGTCTAGACATAGAATCTTCTATCGCTGCTGCAAGTTTTCCTGGACCAAGTGAAGAGAGAGAGAGAGAGAGGGAGAGAGAGAGAGAGAGAGAGAGAGAGAGACAATGACCTCACTGAGGGCATGTGAAACCTTATCCTGATCAACATCAAGAATAATTAGTTTCTGAATTATGTCTTTACAACTGGTGGTGACACTAAGGTTACCAGTGTTTCATGGAGGATTCCATCACATGATCAAGTCACTTACACCCCACCCCCACCTTAGAAGAACACAGGCACCAGATTAACAGTGTCATGGGGACTCCAGAAAGGTGACAGTGGAAGTAGACAGGTTACCAGATGAATGTTTGTTGTCTTGTGTTTCTCCCTGAAGGAGGGAAAGAGAGCTGAGGATGAGGGGCTGACAGGGTCTCCAGCACCCGCCAAGCAGATGTGGGAGGGACCAGGATCAAGGGATTTGCTCCAGGACCCCAGCCCTGCCCCCCTGCCCACACCAGGCAGGTTAGAGAGGGAACCAACAACAACGGGGGAATTAGAAACAAAGATTTAACAACAGTTACTGGAGCCCTTATTTCCTCTAACAAGCAGGGTCTGTGGTTCAGGGCCAGAGAATATTACCTAAAGGCCTCTTTATGATTCTCAGGGACTGCTGGCTCCTGTGTGGCAGGGGGACTGTGCCCCTTCTGAGACCTTGGTGCCCTGCTGAGCCTGCTTTCCCCACTTCCTGGATGCCCTGAGATTTGTCTGCATGTGGCCTGGGGAAAGTGAAAGCAGACACAGCGACTGCCCAGGCCATGTCCTAATTTTCAGCTCCCAGAGGCACCCTCCCTGCCACCTGCCTCCACTCCCAGCTGTCCCAAAACCCTGGCCTGGCCTTTTCCTACTACCTGGACACCGCAGACGGTTTCACACGAACTGAAGTCCCCGGGGAGCTGCCAGTCCCAACAAAGCAGGACCAGGAAGTCAACTCAGACTACAGGAAACTCAGAAATGAAACTTGTGGGGGTGGGGCCATAGGGCGGTGCAGACAGGCGTGAACTACCCCAATATTTTGTAATCAGCTAGTCCTGAAAGGGGGCAGACGTTTGGAAAATATCCTTCTTACAGCAAGGAGAAAGGGACAGATTGATCACCAGGAAGCTGCTTTGTGTCCCCAGCACAATGTCGGGGTCAGGAAGCCTGTGCTGCTCACAGAGTCGGACTTGAGACTTTTTGCGTTTGCCACCAACCCCCTCGTGAATCATCAGCCTTCCAGCAGATGTTTTAGTTTGCTATTTTTAGGTTGTTTACTTTTTAATAACTGCTCTGAAGGGTGTGGGAAGATAGGGGTGGTAGGACCTACTGCAGTCGCAGGACTGGCTCCAGCCTGTCTGTGTCCTCTGGTCCTGTTGCTGTGTCTCATGTCCCCCCGTGTCCCTCTGCAGGATTCAGATACTTCCCAGGACACTCAGCAATGGTCAGCAAGCAGCCACGAGCCACTGATGACCCAGCTGGGACCCCAGGGCCAACACTCTGCTCTGAGTCCAGTGCAGAAAAGGCTGTGAGCTTGGGGACAAGAACTGCGACTCAGCTCCTGCCTCTCCTGTTCAATATAGAAGGCAAAGGACTGTCCCTGCCCAATTCAAGGCTGTGGTTTATGGGGAAACCAGATGACCACCTCCAAGTAAGAGCTTGTCACATGCGTAGCCACAGGTGTAAGATGCACTTCCAATAAATACACGTACAACAGGTGTTCACACAGGAAATAATATCCTCAGTGGCCAAGGGGCCTGACAGGGAGGCACAGCTCCCAGCAGGACTCAGGCGTGGACCCAGCCAGCTGCCTGGGACCTACGCTGGGCCTCTCACCTGGCTGGTCAGGTGCTGACCCTGGCGTTCCTGTGGAAAGCTGTGCTCAGGGCAGCACAGAGGGGCCTGGCAGTTCTTTGTCCCAGACACCGTCCTGCTGGGCGGCAGCTCAGGCTGGAGGCAGAATTGTGAATCAGGATCCTCTCTTCCCCCCACATGGGAGACTTGTCAGCACTGCCCCTCCTGGGAGCTCACAGAGCCTCTGCCACTGTGCCAGCCGGTGCCTCCTGGTGCCCTGGCACGTGCTGTGGGCAGACCCTGCACAGGCCATGCCTGACGCAGCCAGCACGCAGACAGCGGACACAGCCGCCCAGTCCCTGAGCCGGTGAGGGCTCCTTGTACAATAGATGCCCACGCCCTTCATCTCTGTGGCTGTGACACTGGACCCAGGTGCAGATCATCCCAAATTTGTCCTGCCAAAGGATCAGGAAAAGGAAGCAAGTGAAAGCCAAAAAATATATAAATGAACAACCACGAGCAACAAAGGCACCACATCACGACGGGCTCTGTGCCATGCCAGCTGCCCACCTGGCACCTGTGTCCTGTGACACGAAGGAGGCGCCGGTCCGTGCAGACAGCTGCAGGTCTCACAAGGTGACAGGGGCTGCAATGAGCCTCCAGAGGTATGTTCCCTGAAGGTGGGCACAGGGAGAGAACAGTAGGGGCTGCCCCCCCTGCCCCCCAGTACTGCGGGAGTCCAGCTCCCTCTGGTCCAGGGGTTTGTCACGTCCAGCGTGGCAAGGGCATACAGGTTTCTCTTAAGGGGCGACGCAGATTGAATAAGAGCAAGAGACAAAAGTAACATTAAGAGCAAGACCAAGGGACTCAGCCAGAGAAGACTGAGTGAGCCCAGAATCGGGTCAGCGCATAGCTTTTATTGAGAAATTTGAAAAGAAGTGAAACTGTTTTACTGCTGTCAATCAATTTGTAACCCCGTGACTTATGTGTGCCTTAAGACCTTTTCTATTAGCATTCCCTTTGTGTTCCAACACATCCTGTGCCTTCACACTTCCTCCACATAGCCCCAAGACACTGTTACTGTGTCCTCCCAGGGGAGATAACTATTATCATTCCAATAGGTCCCAGTCACCTGAGACACTCCCCGAGAGAGCTTTACAGATATCATTCCATCCGGCCTCAGTTTTCCGAGACACTCTCTCGACTAATGGGTCAGAGGCTAGTGTAGGGGGGTGGTAACGGAATTGGCTATAATGCAACAGGGGTTCCCTCAGGTGAGGATGGAGTCGGGGAGGCGGGGAAGAAGCGGATACAAGGGGAGCGTTTTGAAGAAGTGTCACACTTTATTTTTCAGCATGTCCCTTTTTATATTGGACAGTTGACCATTGTCTCATTAGTTTAAAATTGTTTTACATAGTTTGGATCAGGGTTTTACTTCCTCGTAATTCTTATGCTCCAGGGTACAGCTTGACCTTTTCTTTGTTAAAGATGAACTTATCTTAACTGTGTTATAATCCTTTTACCTATAATGACTATGTGACTAAGGCTGAATTTCTACATAATCGCCTAAAGAATGGTTACCATGACTACCCAACAATTATCCTAAACACTATTAGCTAAGCAGGATCTTAAGATTTACTGGGTGTTTACTTTGACCTTGACTAAGAGACTAGCAGTGTGACTAAAATTGCCTTTAGTGTATAGGGTAAAATTTCTTCAATACAGCTAAAATCTACTTATTCATGATTAAAATAATGTGTATCCAAAAGGGGTATTAGATCTTCATTCTGATTTGGGGTACATCAAAAGGGGGCTGGATTTTCCACATTAAAAGGCAGTATCTGTTTCTCAGTCAGAGCTTCAGAATTTGCCACAACAATAATGTGCTTGGCAAGGAACCCAATTTATAATTTTTGTCTCTTGAGGCAAGAGATATTACAAGACCAACCATAAGGCAGTGCCCCAGACATCCAGCGCCGTGCGTGGATCTCCACCTGGATGCGACCTTGTCAGACACTGAGGTGCGGCCTGCTCCCAACACAGTAGGATATGCACCCCCTCTAATCAGTGAGGCTGCTTAGTCTGTGAGTCTGGAATCAGGAAACTGGAGACCCACAGCCAGCAGGTCACGAGCATCTCCTTAAAAAAGACGTAAGTGTTTGTAGGCATATTTAGGATAAAAAAACACTGGACACAAACTGCATGCTAATGATAGTAACGTGTTGAATAAATTAGGGACCACTGCATTGATTTTTGGTTTTTATTTTCAATTCCAAAATTTCCAGTTGATCTTCTTTACATCTTCTATTTCTTTGCTAGACTTTGTATTTTTTCAGTCATTTCAAGCGCATTTGCAATTGTTGGAGCAATTCTTCCTTTTTAAATATCTGCTTTAAGTCTTGTCAGAAATTCTAACATCTGTGTCCTGTATGTACGTTTTGGCATCTGTGATCCCCTTTTCCAACCTAAGATGTCACCGTTTTCCCGATTCTTATTCATCCATTGCTCCCACTAAACTGAATTATACCATCTTGTTATTTATTAAATTCTTTTTTTTAAAGATTTTTATTGGGGAATTGGGGGAAGGGGAACAGACAAGCTGCTATCATTTTGTTCTTCAGTCTAGTTGTGGAGGACGTTGCTTCACTGGCCCAAGTTGGCACCATCATTGCGCTCTTCCCGTGTGAGGCATATCAGTCGCCGGCTTCTGGATGGCCGCTCACTGCGGCTGCTGGCCGTCATGCCAGCTGCTGGCTACACATGGAAACCCATGGCAACCCACTACAGCAGCCCAGCTCCAGGTTGAGCTGTTGTTCAGCATCTTAGCTGTAGAGGGCAGTGTCACTGGCCCTCATATGTGGGATCCGACCCGGGCCCTCTAGAGTCCCAAGCCAGGTCTTAACCAACGTGCCACTAGGCCAGCCCTATTTATTAAATCCTTATACAGTAGGAACTGTTTCTATACTCTTACTCTTTCTACTGAGCTCAACATAGAAATCATGCACCTTTCTTCAATCTGTTCCTTATTAGTTTATATGCTTCTTTCTACTGTGAATGGAACAGTCTTCTCATTCTCTTTTTTCAGGTGTTTCTGCTCAGAAGGAAGAAATGTATTGATGTATTGCATCCAGCGAACTTACCAATTTCTACAATTAATTCTATTTTCTTTACTCGTTAGAGCCCCTTGAGTTCTTCCTAGTCATCAGCAAACAAATAATTTTATTTTTTGTTTTCCTTAATGTGAATACCAAGCATTTCATTTTATTTTTGTGTCAATTTGCTGAGAATTCCCCATGTGAAGTTGAATAATAATGTTAGCAGGCATCCTCTTTAGTTCTTGGTTTCAACTAATATGGTATTAAGTGTTTGTCGCTCTGGATGTTTGCTATTAATATTTGGTATGTACATTGTGTTTAAATACTTACCTTTAATTCCTATTTTCCTGGGAGTTTTTTTTTGTTTGTTTGTTTTTTGGCTTTAACAACTAACATTTATTTCTCACAGTTCCGGAGGCCAGGAGTCTGAATTCAGGGCACCAGTATGGTGCGTTCTTGGTGACGGTCCCCTTCCTGGTTATGTCCTCACATGGCCTTTCCCTGGTGTGTGCATGAAGGGGGGAGAGAGGGCGGGGAAAACTCTATTTTACTTTTATTTTAAAATTTGAATGGCTGCTAAATTTTTCGTGTATTGATATAATCCTATGGTGCTTCTGTTTTTCCTTTGACAAGTATTTGGGAGGAAACAGTTGAATTGAGGTGGAGCTATAAATTTGAGAGTCAGTGATATACGGACAACGGTATTTAAAGCCACGAGAGTGAGTGAGGTCACCAAGGAGGGGACTGAGGTAGAGAAGAGTAGAACTCTATTGCATGTTCCTTGTGCTGCATTCGCTACTAGTTCAGAAGCACACGTCCAGAATTTAGCAGTGGCAGGACGGGACTGAGCCGGGCGGAACTGGAGGCAGGAAGAAGTGACCGCGATACCGGGAAAGACGATGTATCAGGAGAGCACCAGTGAACTTGGAGAGAAAGCGATGGTGTAAGAGATGATTACGAGGTGGAAACAACTGCTTAGATGTGGGGATGAGAGAGGTTGCACAGCCAAGAACGATAGCAGAGTTTTTAACTGGAGCGAGCAGTTCCCTTCACGAAGAGGGGGGACGCTAAAACAAGCTGACATGGAGAGCAGGTGGGTGTCAGGTCATGTGTTCACAGTGACTTCCTAGAGTGAGAAGTGAGAGGGCCTGGGGCATGTCAGCCCAGGTGCAGTTGGGAATCAGAAACCACACTGAAATTTAGTGTAAAGAATTTGAAGTGAATGTTTGTTAATCACCGGAGGACAGAAGAGGCAAAATAGAGACAGAAATGTGACAGCGACAGTCACAATGGGAAGCAGCCACTGTCTCTAGGGCTGGGAGACAAAGAGAAGATTCTATGAGATCCTCAGAACCAGGACCCCAACCTGTGCAGAGCCGATGCTGGCTCACTGGTGTTAGTGTCTGTCGAGGCTCCATCAGGCTGACGTCAGGCACGTGGGAGACCTGGAATTGGAGCCAGGTGCTGTTTGCTTAGATGAAACTGTGGCTGCCAGGTGAAGAAGGCTGTGGTGATGTCAGCACAGGTGAGAGTAAACAGGTAGCACGTGGGGGCCTTCTCACCCTGCCAGTCCCCAGAGCCTCCTGCTGGCAGAGCCTGGGGTGGGGGCTGCTGGCCAAGCAGAAACGTGGCTACAGTCACAGCTCCAGCACCGTCCCACAGAGGACAGAATAGGCTGGCTGGTCATCAGCGGCACAGGGTGATGTCACATGCCACCGCTGCTGGTCCCAGGCTGCGACACCAGCCCCTGTTCCCTGTACCCCTGTCCGTGTTTTGTAAATAGAGCCTTCTTTATTCTGTTCAGTAAACCTCTTGGTTTACTGTTTTTCCTGTTGGGATTGTAATTTGGCACTCTTCCAATTCGCAAGACTCAGTACGAGATGGAAGCTGGCATTCTACTCATTGCTTTTATGGTCCCCGTGAAGGCCAGAGTGACATCGCAGCTGAAATGGGGGCTGGCGGGGCTGGGAGGGGCACCAGGCTTTGAGAAGAGAACGTCTGAAACAGCTGCCATAGGGAATGCAGTTTCCACAGGGTGGAGACTGTGCGTTTTCACCACGCGATGCCCGTATCACACAGTGGGTGCTTTATGAGTATTTGTCGAATGAGTAAAGTGGAAATGCAGCAAATCTGAGAGCCTCGGTGGCACTGGTGGGCTGTGACAGTGGACCCAGTTGAGGTCGCAGGCCACGGGTTTACCCAGTGAAACCCACAGCTAACAGTAAACATGGTTAGGCATTGCATCAGAGTCTGGAGATGCAGGTATGGGCTTTAACTAAGGGTTTCCATGGCTTTGGATGTCACGTAGGTCATAGTGAAAGGTCAAGAAAGAATGTTAGTCATGCCCTGGAGGCCTGCCTGTCAAGCAAGTTCCAGGGAAGATGTTTAAAGGGCACTTTGCTGGAGATAATGGAAAATGAGGTTAGTTAAGCATAAAGCAATGATAGCTTAAACAACAGTCATAGGTGTTTAGTTTCAGTCTTTTGCTTTAAAATAACCAGTATCTTTGTGCATGTGGTTCCAGTACTGCTCTTGGCAATGTCATAAAATAGACTTCCTTTCAATTTTCGAATTGAAGGAAGGAATTGTGGCGTAAGCAGTCCCAAAGCTGGGAACCCTTATGCCTCCTTAGAGAGATCGCTCCTGGCTTTGGAGCTGGGGTGGAGTGTTGACCTCCTTGGGATCTCGGGGTTCCTCCTCCCCTCCTGACACTGAGGACCAG